CCGCCGTCAGAGTCCCATCAGTGTATCAGGAATAGCGCTGACGGACGGGTGCCTCGGCCAATCGAGGATGGCGGCTTTTTTACACATCCCATCCGGCAGGGCGGGGTTTGCGGCACTGGTGAAGAGGAAATGCGGTGCTCTCGCCGGTAGACAGCGAGGCCAGTACGCAGAGCAGTTTCCACCCGTAGTGACAAAAAGGCCCGGGTGCTGAACTGCTGAACCGTGTGGCGTAAAATGAGCCTGCCTCTGCCTGTAGAGTCCGCCTCACCACATCCATTCATTACTCAGCCTCAAGCTTTAAATAAGCTGTTAATTGAAGGGACCCGAGGAGGAGCAGTGAGGAAGGGCAGGGTGTAAAACAATACCCGGGACTCTACTACCATGTGTCAAGATGCATAATGAAAACTAAAACCCGTTAGTAGTTAGCCTGCAGGTTTTCACGCAACATCAGCTGATTGCTTAAAATGAAAGCTCTAGCATATCGTTGGAAAACTGCAGTCGTCTTTGCACTCACAAGCAATACATGTGAAAATGCAGTAGATGTGGCTACATATACTCACTATGTGGACTGTAGAACCAGACAGCATGAAAGGTGATTATACTTATGTCAAGTAATGTGCTAATCCTACATTTTTTATATTACTGATTACTGCAACTTTAACAATAATTTATGGGCCTACTTTTACACAAGGAGGCTCACACTTTACACAGAGTTCATCACATCAATGTATCATGTAATTAACATTGCATAATCAGGGAAGATTACAAAGATCTAATTTAACAAACTGCTGTAGGTTAAAAGAGGTTGCTTCCCACGTGGTCTCGAGAGCTCAAATTAATGGAGACACAAATTTAACAAATATGCACATCTGCAGCAATACCAAAGATATCGGACAAAGGTGACAGTTTTACACCACACTGACCCCAGTATGTGTGACTGGATGACTGAATAAGTGATGCAAAGATCAGGATATGAAAATAGAGTGAGCTTTGAGACACACACACACACACACACACACACACAGATTCATTAGGGACACGTTATCAGTGGTTCTCAGACAGATATGGGCACACCCAGTATATTATGCCACTGGTCTGAATTTTGGTCCCGCGGAGACAGACAGGAAACTGTGAGTGAGTATGACAGTTGCCTAATATCCTTTTTCCTTTCACCAAAATGTTAATAGTAATATTAATATGACCCTAAGAGGGATGTTATCACACTAAGTTGTCTTATGAGGGGTTGAATTCAACAAACAGGCCAGGTTATAAAAGCGGAGTCTATCAAAATGAACTACATGCATCTGGTTTTAACAGTTACGCTTTCTCTTACAAGTGGTTGGAGGGTGTGAAATGAATATCAGAAATTGACTGTGTATTGTGATACCTTCTAACATTGTTTACATTCCACAAAATAAATGCTGTCAACTATGGTGTATCTGTAATTCTTTCTAGTGGGTTCAGAAGTCACAATGCAAATGGGAACATACGGTCTGTGGTGGTCTGAGTGCCTTATTTATTACATGTTATCTTCAGCATTCAAAATGTTATACTCAGAGCTGGTGTATTTTATTTTACACTTCAAGTTGACACTCCTGCATTCCCTCTTTTCTGTACATAAACAAAAGTCGGGTAATAACTGACATATGCAGCCATTAAGCATAACCTTTTCTCAATTTAGATAAGCTCAAATGTAAAAAACAAGCAAGTGCTTTCAAAGTTGGTAGTGTCTCAATAGCATTTATATTTTTGCAGCAATTTTTAACCATACGTTTTCTGCCACAGCCTTAGGTTAACAGTTTGTATAGATATTACTGTTTCAAATATCAGGCCTGCCTGCTGGACTAACACTGTTTTCCTCATATGATACGCATTGCTGTAAATTAAATCTCTCTGTGTAAAGAGGTGAAAACAGAATAAAAAAAAAAAAAGTGCTCCCCTCTGTCTGAAGGAGCCAGTTGAGGTCAACATAGTTCCTCCAGTCACATCTTTAGTCTAAACCCATCCTCCTATCAATAAGTTCTTTCCTTTTTTCCTTTGTGCCCCTCTCCCCTTGGTCTAAGTTACCATTCTCACCGCTGTATTTTCATACATTTTTTCCCCAGTCTTTTTTCTTTCAGTCATCAAGTTCCAGACCAAAGTGGCTGTAGAGATCTCGTGTGGTGGTCCCCCTCAGAGCAGCTGTAAGACATGGAAAAGTGGGGGTTAGGCCCCTTCAGCAGATTACAGGCTGAACTCACTCTAGTCTACTTTTCAAACAATCCTCAAAACACTGAACAGGCCAAGATCACAGTACCAAACAAATTAATCACTTTCAACACAAGGCTTGAGTGAAAAGATGTTATACAGTAGCTTTAGCAGCATCAGTATCAATTTCATTGCAGCTTAAAATATATAATCAGCCTTTTCCCCTCATATTAACCCTGTTGAATCATAACTTACAGTAGATCATGTAACATATTTTACGAAGCCCTACTCGATAGATCTCTATCTAGCCTCTCTTACATCACACAGAACCAAGCCATGCTGAGCTGAACCAGGCTGAGATATATCATTGTTTTGACATGGTTTTGTCAATCACCTTTGCCTGGGGGGGCAACACCCAAGACTCCACAATTATTATTACATGTTATGTTACAGTACACAATTTTGAATTGAAGTATCCTTTCAAAATTGCACTTATCCTGTCTGGTTTCCTTCACAGCCATTTCAGTTAAGAAAGTACTATACCTGAGTACTGTTGACTATAAACAATAGAATCTTTCAGGAACAATTAACAATGAATAATGAATAATCGTTACATAAAACAATGATAAACTATGTTTTAGGGCAACTTTCTCATAGCTAAACTCCTAGGTAATAATTAAATCTCTTTTAAGTGGTGAAATGTGAAGATTTTAGACTATATAGGCAAAAATATATCTATATTTCTAAGGAGGAGGATGTGACAATGACTTCAAACTCGACTGATAGACAGACGGACATGGTGAGAGACAAAAGGACAGTTGTCTTTAGGAGGGTACTGTAGGCCATCTCCTCTCGTCTCTTCTCTCACTCTACAGCCTGCCCACTACCTCCTCCCTCTCAGAATAACAGTACACAACAGCAACTCAGTGTTTAAGTATAGGCTCTTTGTGAAAGTGTGTGTTTGAGAGAAAGGGAGAGAGACAGCAGGAAGGGGTAAACAGCGTGTGTTTCTGTTTGACAGTTTGTGTCAGTGTATGCATGTGTCTACACGTGTTTGCTGAGATTGTACTGTATGAGTGTGTGTGTGTGTTTGTATCTAAGTGATGTGAAAGACCCCCATTGTGTCAGAGGGGAAACGCTACCTCCATTCACTAAGAGGTCATTATCATCCTGACTCTTCACTGTACTGAGAGAGAATTTAAAGAGATAGCAAGCGTTTAGCTAACCATATGGAGAGATTGCCACGTTTTTTCCCCCTACAAACTGCAGAAGTGGGAAATAAGTGATAGTAGAGCATCTGAGTAATGTATAACTATCCATGTTGTTACTGTGTTCATATTCCACAAAGATCAGGAGATTTAAAAGGGGATGTCCAGATTTTATTTAACACCACACACACATAAATGTGCATGTAAACGTAGGTAAAAGGTTATGTTTGTTATGATACATACACAGACCATAATGTCACTTGGCTGTGATTCACCAAAACTTCCCTAACAGTGTGAAATGCTTGAACTTCTCCACACTTCCTGAACCTCATGCAGTTGCAGCACATGCACAGAAATATGTTTTTAAGACGCAGGCACACGCTTTACCCCATTGTAGCCTATTTCCTCATACCGGTGTGTCTCCCAGACATACAGTAAATTCATCAGTATTTGATGGTTTTAGACAGTGCTATGCAGTGCCAACACCAATCTCTGAGAAAGAACAGTGATCGGGTCTACAGCCTGCACTCGTTGTATAAGCTGCTATCAGTAATAGCACATAGCATAGGTATGGCAATTTCAACTAAACTAAATTAATATTTCTGTCATCACATGATGTATGACAACAATGCTGAGCAATATTTGCCAACATATGACTGGACACAGAAAATCAAAGGACGGCTGGTTTATTTAAGCTGGATGAGGTGGGAACCTAAATATAACCAAGATTGTCCAAATAACAGAAGCACTTCAACCAGTGACATTTTTCTGTGTGTGTTAATCTAACATAATCAGTGTTGTGTAAATACTGTCTGAAGTCAATTGAAAGGCTAGCCCTGGCTTTTGATTCAGCCTTCAGAGGGAAACAGAGACGCCGCTCTGTTGCCCTCTGGTGGCTGGCTGTACTGTGGAGCAACTTCCATCCATCCCTTGTCAACCACTTATCCTGCGTACAGGGTTGCGGGGGGCTGGATGCTATCCCACTGACATCGGGCGAAAGGCGGGGTACACCCTGGACAGGTCGCCAATCCATCGCAGGGCATGGATCAATAAACTGTAATCATACCATTATGTTTAGTTTCCTTCAAGCTATTGTTGCATTACCTAATCAGATGAGAGCTTACTGAAATGTTTCCTTCGATGATAGATAGATGGCATGACTGCATATCGATTGTATGAGCACACTCATTTTCTCCACAGACAGCTTTCTTAGCTCTAATATTTTAATGGTGCATACCGATCAACATACCTGGTATAGATTGTGACAACAACAACAACTTTATATGACCGTGTGGTAAATCTGATGTTGTCTTTGTTTGAGTATTAACAGTCATCTCAGTCACTGAAGTTGTTTTTAACCTCTGTGCAGTTTGTTTTCTTTGGTGCAAATCACATCAGAAAAAGACATTGTTTTATGTCCGTTTCAGTAAATTAATTTAAAGCTAATTTGTTGCTGTGCCTGCAGCAACCTTGCATGACAAAACACCTTACACCTGCCATATTTGGGATCCAGTCTAGTGCTAGTTGGCGAACAACCTTTAGTGGTTATTAGTGTTGTAATTAGGGCCGCAACTAACGATTATTTTCATTAATGTGTTGATAATTTTCACAATTAATCGATGAGTTGTTTGGTCCATAAAATGTTAGAAAATTGTGAAAAATGTTCATCAGTGTTTCCCAAAGCCAAAGATGACATCCTCAAATGTTTTGTTTTCTCCACAACCCAAAGATATAGATAGATATTCAGTTTACTGTCATAGAGGAGTAAAGAAAAAAGAAAATATTCACATTTGAGAAGGTAAAATCTGAGAATTTGGAATTCTTTTCTAAAAAAAAAAAAAAAAAAAGGAGACTCAAACAATGACTCTGTTATCAAAATAGTTGGTGATTAATTTAATAGGTGACGACTAATCGATTAATCGACTAATAGTTGCAGGTCTAGTTGTAATTGCGTGGCTTTTTCAAGGCATGTACAACAGTACACAACATAAACAAATCTGTTATCACTGATATATTATTCAGAATCTATTCTTGAACTTGTGACTTGTTTCACTGCTGGTTAGTTTAGTTCAAATTTAATTATACTTGAAAGGAGAAGCCTTGACGTTTACATGTATACTTTTGTCTTCACATATAATGTATCTGACCCACAATATTCACTATTAAAAGGTATCAAATTAAAACGTTTATATGAGCATTTCGCTTACCAATACGGCCCAGGAGTGACTGTCCAATGTCTTTTATGTCATTGTATTCATGCAGCATATCAATATGATGCTCCAGCTCCTCTACTCTGTATCCTCTGGAGAAACACACACAAACTGGTCTCATACAAAAGCAGATCTTTGCAAATGACAGTCAAAACTATGTGCAGGCAAGCAGAGCACACATGCATTAAAGGTATTACAGGGTATTATTTGTGGGGATCAACACTACTGATGATCCCCTAAGGCTAAACTGAGTCATCAACACTACATGCTTAACCTCAACCCATACTATTCAAGTTGGACCTCAAAGTCAAATACAGGACAAGACAAATACACACAGCTGTACTCACTCAGCCTCCAGCTGTGCTATCTCTGTGTCCAGCTGCTCTCTTCTCCTCTGTAGCTCTGCCACCTCCTCTGTGGGGCTAACTTTAGCACTCTCAGTTACTTGAAGCTGTGAGGTGTAAAACAGACAACCATGGTACTCGGATGCACATGTGGAATGACATATAAGATTTATAATAATAATAATAAATTAGATTAACATAGCGCTTTTCTAAATACTCAAAGACGATTTACAGAGGGTAAGTATGTATGTGTGTTACAAATAGACAGAGAGGATGTTTACTTACAGGTGATTTGAAGTTGGTGTGTACTCTCTTAAACTTTGAGAATGGAGTTCTAGGGAGAGAGGGTATGAGAGGATATGTTTCACTTGATGTATGATGTATGATGTATGTATGTATGAAATGTATAATGAATAAAATGTCTTTGAAGTGGCTGTTTACATGTTCCACTCAGTATTCATTTGCTCTCAGAAATTCCTAATAATAGTAGCAATAAAATCTGTACGGTCTGTGTGTATGCAGAAAGAAATTTAAAAAACAGGTTTGTTGTTACACACAAACACATGCAACAAACAAATCATATCACTTATGTTTTAAGTTCATTAAATACAATTCCCTGTAAACATAAATGTGGGATTTTAACTCTTCATTGTTTTCTAGCTATGGCTAAATAATGATAATTATTGAACCAAGGACTACTAAGATGATGGCCGCAAGGAAATATGCGGTCTATTGCATGATTTGTCATGTCTCGTTTATTCATGCAAAGAAGGTTAAACCAACTGGACTTGGTTGACGGTACATAAAGACGTTTCACATCTCATCCAAGAAGCTTCTTCAACTGTGTGTATTTCTCTTGCTTTTGGATTAACGTTATCTAATTTTTTATTTTTTTAATTGAACTGAATGAGTGGAACATACAGATGTGTGGTTACTGAGTGGCGTATTATGTGGTTAGATTTAAATAACAGTCGTTTGCTACTGTGGCCAACAAGAAAGTGGGTAAACTTTGACTTCCAGTGGAAAAGGCATATCGGAATTTCCCACATAAAAACCCTGTCAATATGTTATGATGTCCGAGGTTATCTAAAGACTTCGGTCTTTATTTAAAGCAATTCCGTGTAATAAAAAGTGGTTGAAAAACATTTATCTAAGCTTTGCAAAACAGCAGATGCAACGCTACTTAGTAGACGTTAACTGTATCAGCTAGCTAGCTAGCTTAAGGGCTAAACCTATCGGTTACCTTTTCAAAGCTCCTTTCTGCAAGTCGTTCCCTTCCGGAGTCGAAACTGGACAGTTATTTGCACTACAGTGGGTTTCAGCGGATTGCTCTGTGTTCATACTGCCTTGTGTGTTATGAAAACGTGTGTGTAATGGGCCATTTAATGCAATAAGTACAGTATTTTAGAGAAGTAGGAAGTTCGCAATTCGCGGCCGATGGTAAACTGACGCAGACTGAAACCGGATTGGTTCTTCAAACCGAGAGGCGGGGACTACTACCCTGGTAACAACCGTGCGAAAGTGGTGATTGGGATTCTTGTCATTTTGAAGGGATAGATGTTTTAGTTTCACAACAACTCAAGTTCTTTTTTTTCAGAGTATGCCAACCTATACTTGTATTTTGGTTATATATTATTACGCTTAGCACTTAGGTTACATTTTACAGTTTTTCTAAATTGTTTACACACCAGCCTACTTGAGAAAGAAAAAAAGTAGGACAAGACTGAAATGTGGATATAAAGAACATTTCCAGGGTCCACTGCCATACTGACAAAACATCCACCATTGTTTAAACAATGCCAAAGAATGTTTAATTTTGAGGGCATTGCCTTTTTATATGAGACTATGTCTTTGTCTTGAAGCATGAGTTAAATGTTTTGGATGAGTTATGACCTTTTGCAGGCGAGCTATGGTGTTTTGACAAATGCTCATAGAGATTTGAGATTTGAGATTTGTTTTAAGAAATGAGCCAAAGCAATTGACCAGAGTTCGACTAGAATGTGTCAGCAAAGCCACTTTCCTTATTGGACCACCAGATGGCGACAAAGTGCCACTTAAGTTGACTTCTTTCTTTCTGTGTTCATCGCATCTTCACCTCTCACAACACTCAAATACAGACTGTCTGTCTGAAGCAACCCACACACTTGTTAACGGAGAAGAATATTGCATAATCAGATGGTGTGGCACATATTCATGTGCTAATGATAAAATGAGGCTACTCTGCACTACTCACCAAACAAAGGTGACTCTCAGGCTGATTCAAAGACAACAGCGCTCTAAAACCGGTGGTAGATTAACAAAGCAAAAGGTCATGTTCAATCCTCAAAAACTGACACACATACTTTTCCACCACATACTGGAGCCAGAGCCTTTCCAGTACGGTTCACTGGCCAATGACCAAAGGAAGAGGAACACAGCAAAAGATTTAACTGAGAGAGAGAGAGGAGCAAGGAGCATGTGTTGGAAAGGGAGACAGGGTTTATAAAGAGAAGAGGGTGAGACAGAAAGAGAAAGGCAGACGGGATGTGTTTTCTAGGGTAGCTGGTGTTGGGGGGGTGGTACATAAAAGGACATAAAATCAAGTCCATTCTGTGTTGTGTCCACAGGATTCATTGATTATTTATCAGTTGTTATACTGAGACAGAGAGGGGGGGAATGAAAAATTCAGACAGGATGCATGGCCTTTTCTCCTTTTAGAAATTGCAAGATTACATACACTGAGCAGTAATGGCTCCGACACGCAGTCATGTGTGTGTGTGTGTGTAAGACAGAGAAGGAGAGATTTGTGGAGGATGGCAATTTCTGCACATCTCTGACCCAGCAATAAACACTTGTGTGTGTTACTCTATCGCATATTCAGTTTTGTTAATAAAGGACACAAGGTTGTGTGTTCCTTTCGTGTGAATGTACAAAACTTCCTGCAGTAATGACATGGACTCTGATGAAAGAGCCCCTTCCTAATGTGCGACCAACCTCTCAAAGCTTGGAGTGCCTGTGTTTATTTGTGGCAGTCTGGGTAATGTCCATACTGGTGATGAGGAATCTCAGGAATGCCAAAATAAAAGACTAAACTTTTGGCATGGAATATTGTGTACATGTTCTGTAATACACAGTATCATTACAGGAGTTAGCAGGAGTCTTAGTTTATACCTACTCAAGAACACTGCTTATTAAACTAATTAGTAGTCAAGGTATGCAGGTGGATGGGTGTATTATTTGAATCTTATAGGCTCATAGCTATACTCTATAGATATTTTTTTTTACAGCAGGCATTTGTGCTTGTCATAGGGAAAGCATAGGTGTTACTAAGAACATTATCAATGGCTCTGTTCGATTCAAGTGTCCCAGTCAGTCATGAAAGTGTGACAGTGCGCCACCAGCATGCACAATACCAGGACCCTGAAACTAAATCATTTATTTTATTATTTTTACATTAACTTTTCCTACTGTCCATCCAAGATGAGATATATAATCTCTCCAGTGAGTTCTAGTTTTCCTCCCAGTTGGACGTACATGGAAAACCTCCAAAGGAAGGTGCCCAGGAGACATCCTAATCAGATGCCCAAACCACATCAACTGTCTCCTTTCAATGCAAAGGACCAGGGGCTTTACACCAAGCTCACTCCAGATGTCCAAACTTCTCAGCCTATCTCTAAGGCTCAGATTTGCCACCCTACAGAGGAAACCAAACCTACGGATTTCTACTTGTTTCCATGATCTCATTTCTTCCACAGCTCATGACCAGGTGAGAATAGATCAACTGTGACATGTCAAAAATGTCTTTGTGAAAAAGACCTAATGTGTTTTGTGTGCAGCCTGTCCTTGACAGACAAACGTCCTGTAGGTCGATTGTGCAGCAGCTTATTATGACCCATATTTACGTTTTTAGTTAGGCTCCAACCCTCTTTGTAAGGAGGGTGGTGGGTTGGATGGATGTGTCAAGTAAACTAAGGACTGTCACTCAGGAGACATAGGTTTGAGTCACATGTGAAAAAACTCAAAGTTGGAACATTCAAAGTTAAATTTAAAAGTTAACTAACATTTCATAGGTTACTAACATCACATTACTTACGTAATGTACTTATTTTAATCTTTTCCTAAACCTAACCAAGTAGTTTTGTTGCCTACACCTAACCAAACTACGCCGTTTTACAACTTTTATCATGTGTTAAACGTCATGTGACTTAGGTCATGTGCCTTCATAATGCACTTAAAGGGCTGTATGCCTGTCACTGGACTGGTACTTGCCAATTCTCGTACATATCAGTTTTGGGGAATGGTCATATGTCATTGTGGGACAACAACAACAACAACCTAATGATGGGAATTACTGTTCTTTGAAGGAAGCTGGCTCCAATCATTCACTTAATAGAGTGGGCTCATAGATGCAGACTCGTTTGCAACAAACACATCACTAAATGAACCTTTTTTGTCATTTAGGTAGGAGGACATGTTGGTTACCTATTAACTGTTTATTTGTGAATGTTTATATTAAGTCTTCATTGAGCTCACATTTGCATTTTTGTTTTTTTTCCCTTAATTTCAGATCCAGCTAGCTAGCTTTTTCTGAGAAAACTCCAACCAATGAGGAAGGCTGTGAGATTTAGTTGGAATCTCTGGAAAATGCTAGTAAGTTGACTTTGCATTAAGATTTTCTTTGGTCAAACTACTGTTTCTAAGACAAAGAATGAACTTTTACTTTTTTATTTTCTTGTGACATACCTAAGCCAATTTACTTTTCTATAGTGATATTCGGTGGTGTTTTTTGCACAAAATATACTAAGAAATGAACAAAGCAGGTAAACAACCACATTTCCAGTGTGGAAAGATAAGTTATTTTTCAATGGCGTTGCGTACCACAAACAAAACAGACAGAAAATAGCATCAGAAATCTATCTAAAATATGAAATCCATCTATTTGTCTTTTACTGTTGACAATCTAAAGAAAGTTTCATAACAGGGTTATATAGAAAAGCTGGATTTGAAAAGAGAACATAAGAGGTAGGAGGTGGAACAGGAGGCGGTGAAAAAAAGTAAGGAAAATCCGAGCAAGGGAAGGACAAGGAGTGGGAATGACAGGAGGGAAGAGGAAGGAGGGTGAAGCAGCAGGACAATAAAAGGAACGGAGGAGAATGGGCAAGAAGCTTTGGTTTGCGATGTTAGTTGGAAAGCCTCATATCTATCGCATTCATAATTCATGGAATCCCGGCCGTCCTCTGTACTGCATCTAAATTCCACTGTTGGGGAATTATGGCCAGAGACCATAAAATAGGCACACACACACACGCACACACACACACACACACACACACACACACACACACACACACACACACACACACACACACACACACACACACATCATGTAGTACTAGAGAGTAGGCTAAGGGAGACGGGGAGAGAGCAGAGAATCAAGAACAAGAGAAAGAGATATTATAAGAGATGCAGTGGACAGACAGAGTGAGAGAGGGGATGAATCAAAGCATTTCATAAAACATCGATAGACAGCTAAAGGCTGTGCTATGAGCTTTGCTTACACTGGTGGCAATTATGCTTCTAAATAATTCATATAGCATGCGCAAGGGTTTCTTTTTAAGATCCCTAAACGGCCATGGATTTAAACATTTTATTTCCAATTTTCCCGTGATAACAAGTTAATTTTTATTGTTTTCTTGAGATCAAAAGTTATTTATGTCAGTGTCTTGAATTAACGGAATAATTTTCTCGAAATCTGGAGATCATAAAACCCAGCCAACTATATCTCGTCATCTTGGGAAAACAACATTTGTTATTTTGAGATAATGACGTAAATAAAGTTCTCGTGATCTTGAGAAAACGAATAGAATTAACTTGTTATCATGAAATAAAATGTTTGAATTCAGGGCCAGTGAGGACTCCCGTACTACCGTACACAAACTGAAAATATGCAGAATGCACGCAAAATACACAAACACAAACTTCACCAGTAAAACCTACATACAAACACATATATACTCCTGTAGTGCACACATGCAAGCAGTCAGAAAATGTATACTTCAGACATCCATAACAGCACAAATCAGTGGTTTTATTGAAATACACACATTTTGGAGATCTTGGTGGAGAGCTGGTTAACTCTCAGAAGGAAAGACTTGTATTAGCCAGAGTGAAGTACTCTTAGATAAAAAGCATAGATTAGATAATAGATTGTTTGGCGGTTTTAGTTATGAGGCAGACTCTTGCTGAGCTGCACAATGTCAGTCGTGATGGAAGGATGCCATCACAGACCTCCAACCTCACTTTCACAACATGTCATTTAAAATAGCATTGACAGACCTCATTCAACGCATCAGGTGTTTTCAACAATGTTCACAGATGTCTTTTTGTTTGACAGGCTAGCAGTTGCTTGCCATGCTTCTAGTCTCTGAGCAAAGCTACAGCGTGCTAAACGTGTTCTCCACTGCAAAACTGAATTATCAGACATGTGGTCCTGGTACATGTAAATTATGGTTACTGTAAAGAGAATCAATAAAAACATTTGCAGCCAATTTGCCTTGTGGGTGGAATGCAAGTGTGACAATTCCCTGTTACAGTAATTCATGTAGAATTATATTGGGAGTTTGAATGTATCCACGTCCAAGGGAATCCATCATAATGTGAAAGGTTTTTCATGTCTGAAGCAGTGCTGTTGTATTAATGCCATCACAAAAGGTCTATTCATGTCTCTGCCAGGGAGGCCTTGGTTTGATATCAACTCCTCTACGCCTCCATCTGTCTGTGTATTCTGTGCTATGTGCTATTTCTTATTCATTAGCTGTGACTGATCTTTCTAATAACTACTTCTATTTCCTCTCTGAAATAGTTTTCAGTTGTGTTTCTATTGTGTGATTAGTCTTCTTCCCTCTCTGACTCACTCAGTTTATTGCCAGAATAAAGCTTCCCATTTTCGTTTCTTATCCTTTCTGCACGGGTGAGTTTTCACTGTGACTATCATCTCCTCGCCTCTAACCGTCAGGTCGGTTTATCGTCGCACTTAAGCATCCCATTCTTGTTTCTTTTCCCTTTCAATTCATACATTTTTTCTGTCATGACTCTCACCTCGTCGCCGCAGGGCTGACGGGATCTGTGTGCAAACAGACGCCTTATCGCTGTTACTGCGGTTAAAGGTTTGGCAGGCTTCACCATTTTCTCATGTTAAAATTTGATCTGTTGCAGTTTGTCAGATGTTTGACTTTGAACATAAAAGAAAAAAAAACATGTTAGTAGGTTCACTGGTTTCCAGACACATTTACACCTGTAACCTTTTAGAGAATACAACTGTCGCTATGCAATAACAATCATTTCATAATAATCATTTTCCTCTGTCAATTGAGATTATGAACAGATGTTGGCTTATTAGTGGCATCAACAACAAATAGCCAACATATACACCAAACAAATCAGAACTGGATTGCTGTTTTCAATCTAGGATAGCACACATTCATTTTTCTTCAGATATCCAAAAAAATCTACTTTAATCGGCAAACCTAATGGTCTAAATCCTGCAGTCTAGACATCAAATAAAATTTGTATTTTCTACAAGATTGCCTGCCGGGCTCTCTGTACGGCTCGGCTGTTTGTGGTGTGGTGCTCCGACCAAAGCATATGTTTCATCTAGCTGATATTTACCGTGCCTACAGCAATTGACTAAATCAGATAATCCCGGATGATGCACCATGCTTTTAGTTGAATCCACTGTTCAACATTTGGCAGCTAGCAGAAATACGGTCCTGTGGAGTCCTGCCTGCCCAGGGAATACATATTCTCATTACAGTAAATGTCTATGGATAAACCTTTGTATCAAGAGGCTTCACTTCATATTAAAGTATACACCACGCAAACATCTTTTAAAACGTGTAAATTACTTGAATTGAATGAATGACTGCCCAGGCTTGTCATTCAAAAACATTTGAATATGAATTTGAATCACAAGGACATTTTACTCCACATTTGGTTTTGGTAAAATTAACAGCAACAGCAAACCATATCAGAAGGAGTTTCACACCATTTTATTAGCAACAATGTGTGTGTTAGTTATACATTAGAAACAAGGACAGAAACATTTCTGCTGTACTGTACTGAGTCTGAAAAACCAGATGGATCATAAAATAAAGAAAGTAATTCAAATACTTCAGGGTAAAAGCAACACTGCATTTGAATAAACACTTGTAATAATAATAATAATACATTTCTCTTATAATTCTTTATGGCACTAAATGTCTTGTGCAACTGTCACATAGTTTCTTTTTAAAAAGTAAGGAAAGCATAGCATTGAGAACTGTGTGTATGTGTGCGTGCATGTGTTTGTGTGTCATAGTATATTTGCAGGGAAGCACATGTCACAAGAGGAAAAACTTAAAACAAAATCACTCACGTTTTGACCCTTTGGGAAAATAAATGAGCATGATTGCTGATAAAATCATCAGAGACAGAAAGAGAGAAAGAGAGAGAGAGGGCGTACAACAGCATTTACCATCCATTTTGAGGGGCGGGGGATCCAAGAGGGACAATCCAATCGGCTTCAAGCCCCTCACACAACCACTGGCATTTCTTCTTGAAACACAGCAGTAAATAATTTCATTCATTAAATGTGTGTCTTGTGTCCATAAAATTCAGCCACTGCTTCCTCCAGTCAGAATATGAGCCCTCGAGCCCAGCCGGTTTGCCAAGTGCAGAAAATAAAAACAAACGCAAGAAGGAATTCTCCGAGTACCTCATAGCACGAGCAAATATTCCTCAGTCCAACGAGTTGAGAGAAGAGAGAGGCTGGAGTGTATGTTACTGCCTGTTAAATATTTATAGATATGCCTTCAAAGGTGAATTAATCTTAAGCCAATGAATCCATATATCAACAAATCAGAGACAGCGCAAGGAATGCAGTCCACAAAATGAAACTTCAGCGAAGAACTATAATGAATATCACTTTGTAAAGTTACGTGACTGCCACCTGCAACTTGACTCTGTGGTATAGCATTAATCAGTAAAATAGACATTTACAAAATAGCTGCAAACCCACCTAAGAGTTTGTCGTATCATTTGGTTGGGTCATTCTTAGCACTAACATGAATTTAAAGGTAAAACTGACAGACGGAAACTAATACAATCCCTTCACCCTTTACAATAAATGTTTAAAATGTTATTGCAACCCACCACTGGGTTCATATAGGGGGGACAGATTGTGTTTAATTGTATGGAATATGAATTCTTGTATAACAATTGATCAAGTTATACACACACACACACACGCATACATGCATGCAAGCACACGCACACACAAATACAAGAACCCATCCCCCTTTGGCACCTGGTCCACCCTGCTGGCAAGAACACAGAGGTCTTTCTCTGCTGAAGTGTAGTATACTACATATTTATATGTACACTTTGTGTTGTCAGCAGATGCTCTGAGAAACCAGCCTCCCGTCAAACTGGAGGCATCTATGAAAGGAAAAACAAGCAGGTATTTACTTCTTCTGTGAGCCCTTTATGTCTTTAAAATATTATGGCCTATGTTAAATCTATGTAAAATGCCTGTGTGTGGCTGCTAAAACTCGACATCCTGCTTCCTCTTCTAGTCTCTCCACTGGTGGTGGGTGATATTTTATAATCTCTATAATCTGTAGATGGAGGAACAGACAGATCATCCCATCACAGGAGAGGGAAACACTGGACTTCTCCTAATAATATTTTGTTTGTAGCAGCTATGGCAGAGAGAAAATCCCTGCTGATTATGTCATTTTGACATGGCGGGAATCTGTCTATGTTTCATCCATGGGTAGAACATGGGTAGAGTCCAGAGGAAGTAGGGCTACACAAAAAATTTTAAAATCGTAAAACAAATTCCATTCTTATCATTAAAAAAGAGTTATTCAAAACAAAACAAACCAAGAAGTTCATGTTATTGATAACTTAACATTTTTTAAATACTTTGAACTCTATATTGGCCCAAGTGTAAGGTCCTGGACCTGAGCATAGTACCTTTGAAAATCCTGTCCTGAGAGCCATCTGAGTCCTCCATTCTGCAAGGAGGTGACCAGTAGAACGAGACCAGACTAGATCACCCCATACTAGACTGGACTAAACTGGTCAAGATGACAAAAACCCAGTCCGGCCTAGGCCATCCCACTTAATTTAAGCATAAACTTACACCGAGTTCCAGCCTCACCAAGCTAAACATCCGTACTGATGCTACAGCTGCGTGTGAACATGTCCCTCATGGTTACCGACCGGGCGAGGTTTGGTTTACGGTAGTTTGAAATGTTCACAGGCACTGGCAGGTCCAGATCCTGCTGCTGGACGCTGCGGTAGCTGATCCGGTCACCTCCGTTCCTCAATCCATCTGGTTGATGGTGTAGCTGCGGCTGAGGGGGCTGGAGGTAGAAAGGCAACTCATAGTGCGTACAGGATGGACAGAAGGTCTGTGAACGTGTTAGTTTCCTGGCCAGCGGAGGGGTGGAGAAAAGGGCGGGGCCATTTGGGATGGAGGAGGCGGCGGCCGTTGCCGCCACAATGTTATGATTGGAGTGGACTGGCGGGAGGCGGGAGGTAACTGCAAAGTCTGGCTCCTCCTCCTCCGACTCGGACTCTTCCTTCTTGCAGCAATAATACTGGTGGTGGGAGAGGAAGGATTGCGGGATATGGAGGATGATGGGGAGCAGAGACAAGAAAAGAAATGAGGGAGAATATTAGTGCAAACAGCATATCTCTCAAAATTTAGCCCCACATTATTTATCCATGAGGTGTTCTTCAACCCACATGACCCTAGATGTGCCATAACCGTGAAGCTGTACGCTACAGTGTCAGAAAGGCTTAGTCTGATTTCTGTGACAAATCCTCAACAATTTTGAACAGACTTGTATACAGAATCCACCTTTCAGTGGAGAATTTATGGTTGCTATTTCTGGCCCACAAAATGTAGTTTTCAAATGAATTCCTGGCATCATGCCCACAAATATGAACTATAATTTGGGGGTCACTTTTGATTTTACTGTGAAATATAAAAATCCTAAGAACTGTAATCAGCTCAAAGTGAAAAGGATCATATTATTTCCACTCTAGCAATTTCACCTTAGTTTCCAGTTGATCTTGGTAAATGGACTGCTTTAATTCAAGGTGCTTTATAATTAGCATCTCTGTCACCCATTCGCATGAGCTACCATAGAAGGCCCTAGTGATACCATTGTGAGCAATTTGGAGTTCAGTGTCTTGCTCATGGACTCTGTCCTGTCCCTGTACTCTGTTAGAGGCTGGGGAGCAAATGAAGAGCTACATGATAACAAGATGTTGCAAGATGTTGCTTTCCCCACATATTTTCTGAACCTTGATACGAAGGATCAGTCATGGTGTCAGTGGTCAGTGTTGTAATAAAGCTCAGTCCCACAGGTGTGAAAAGGCCTTTTAGTATTTAAAAAGTATGCAACTTTAAGTTGATTTTAGGTGTACAGTTACACAAAATTAAGCAAATTAGGGGAAGAAGTTGATAAATTAAAGCAAAAGTTTGACATTTTGGGAAATAAGATTATTTGGTTTCTGGCAGAATTAGATGAAAAGACTGATACAGTAACACCCTTTGTCTATAAAGTAGATAGCCGATAACCCTCCACGGACAGAAGCTGGTTAGCTTAGTTTAGCATAACATATCAAGATCTGCCCACCAGCACCTCTAAAGCTCATTAATTAACATGTTTTATCTTGTTTATATAATCTGCATAAAAACTGAAGTGTAAAAATATTTTTTTTTGTTGTCTTTTATTAAGGGGGTTATCTGCCTGACTATTTCTTGGCTCTGAGCAGTTCCCAGCCAACCAGAAGATCCTCCAGGAATTTACTGATCATGGCCAAGAAATGATCAGGCACATAAACATCTGTAAAAAGGCAAATCGTGGTTTTACACTTCAGTGCTGGTAGGTGGATTTTGTCACCATTTGACAGAGCCAAGCCAGCTGTTTTCCACTGTCTCCAATCTTCGTGTTAAGCTAAGCTAACTGGCAGCAGTCTGCAGCCTTATATTTGATGGACAGTGGTATCCATCTCCTTCTCATCCAACTCCCCACCAGAAAGAAATCGTAACTCAATTTCTAGTACATTTTTAATGTCCAAAGTCCAAGCAGGTTAATGCACAATGAATGTACAGAGCACAACAGCATAGAAAGATGGACAACACGATGACTATTTAATTAAAATGACCACAATGTGATTTTCTTTGTAGGAAATGAAACTGAAGTCTGTAACACTTCTAATGTGAGATAAGTTTCCATATAATGATTTGCTAAACTTTAAGACCTTGTAGACAAGTCTGGGTTCAGACTGGAGAAACGCTGAGGCATAAGTGCCGTTGAAAGCCAAGTGCTAACACATTTTTTGTTTACTGGTATGAAATGAAAAGTATTGGAGCTTATTGATGCTTTTATTTCTATTGTGTTGAAGCAATATTGGACATTTTCTATTCAATATAGGCTATGATTCGCCTGAAGTTCCAAATATGATCTGTCCCTGATTTGAGTCCCAAAGCCCAAGAACTACTGATACAGAAAGTGCACAGCCTCAGCTGTACTTTGTGTTTTAATGCTAATGAGCACATGTTAGCATGCTAACACACTAAACTAAATATGGTAAACACAGGAAACATTATTCCTTTTAAACATCAACATTTTGGCTTTGTCATTGTCAGCATGGCGACATGCTGACATTCGCATCAAGCTAAGGCATTGTTAAAGTACAGCCTCACAGAGCTGCTAGCATGGCCATTGCATTCTACTTTACTGTTGTTATGGATTTTATGGATTTCAAAGCAACTCACAGGCTAAGTTGGTGAAATTTGGTGAGAGGTTTCTACCATGTGCCAAGGAAAACATTTTTGTTTTAGGTGCTGATGCATTATATGTGGCCATTTATAAAGCGCTAAATGTTTTGGTTGGCAACCAAATTTTGATGACTGTGCACATTCTGAGACATCCTGCCAAATCTGATGACATTTCATGATGGTCAAATAGGTTAGTTACATGTCTACTGTCAACAATCCTTGTACAAAGCCCTAATATTCGCTTAACAGGCTTTGCGACTCCTCCAGATATCATGGCCACCAGTGCAGATTTCTAAACATTTTCTATAAGAATAATCAAGATAAGATAATCAACGTTGGCAGACACAGACAAAGAATGTAGCTATACTCATGAATTAAAATGTTTGGTTGAAAGAAAGCCTCTGTTATCCTTGGTAATTGAGGGTCACAAAATAATTCCACCTATGAAAATATCTATACTTATTATTTAACACCATCCTATGACTATCAACAACTGGTCTCACCTGCAGCCTACAGTAGCACAGTACTGCGATGATAAGGAGTAATATAACTGTCGCTAGAATTCCGCCAGTGATGACCACTGTCCCGGCTGTCATTCGAATGGCTCTCCATCAACACCCTGTGGAGAGCAAGAGGATGGGAGGAGAGGAACAAAGAGAGAGAAAGAGTAGAACAGAGTAGAGGAGAGTAGGGATCAAGTGAAAGAAGAAATGATACAATTCATCAGTACAGTGGCTTCATTAAGTAGATTATAACTGTGTGTCATCTCAGTGGTGGTTATTGAATTATCCAGCAGTTAGGAGACATGTAATAGAATCATCCTACAAATGCTGCTCATAATATAGGATCTCAGACAGAAAAAAAGAAGCGTTAGAGAGAGGGAAATCAGCATTCAATAGCAGAGCAGCAATGGAAATGAGTCCTGTAAAGAACACCATCAAAGAAATGAATGGATGTTGGGAGTGAGGAGAGCTGAAGTGACTGAGTAGGTAAGAGGAATAAAGACAGAGTGAGCGGTGAATTGACATGGAGCGAGAGGGAGAAAGAGGTCAAGATGAGCTGAGTAATGCGCGTAGAAAGGGGTCTGATAAATAGATGTGAAATGCAGAGACAAAATGATGGAGGGGATGGAGAAGGCGTGTGAGAGATAGATGTTGAGAGGTGAAGCATAAACAGAGGGTACATGGAAATGAAGAGGAGTGGATGGGGAAAAAAAGAGATAAAGACAAGCTGATTGGTTGACTGAGGAGATTTTGTGTTGCAATATCTTCAAGCCAAGCCCATGGTTGAATGACAGCAGATGTTTTATGCATGCATTCAGGACTCACAAATGCCTAATCCCAGATACTTTTGTTCATGCCCACTGCTTTAAAACTGCTGAAGAAAAATATCTTTAGGACTATGGTAAAATAGCAAAGTATAAACATTAAACGCAATCTATAAATTAGCTGATGTTCAGTTATTCAGTAAATATTAAGTACTATATGCCAAAAACCTTAGACATAACCTTTGCAATAGTAGTAGTAATGAAGCTGCAAACACAACAGTTTAAAACACTAATGTGTTTTTTGTATTATTACCAGCCCACATAAATAAAATATACAAACAAAATGTCTGTGTTTAAAAGAAGGCTGAAAGGTCAGACTGTAAAAGTGATGTCAGTACCAATTAACTGAAACAGAAAATCAAACTCAAAATGAATACAGCTGCCTACTTGTTGTCCCAGCAGGTAGTCAGTGATGCATGGTTCACTACATGCCTCTGTTTTAAAATATAAAATAAACTGCATGTACAACATACACACAAAAACACATTGACTGAACATCTTATGGGCAGATGTATAACAGGTAGTGGAGAGAAATCCATGGTCAGTGCTTATGCATTTGCACTCCTGCTTCCTTAGTCATATGCATCTCCTGATGAAACAGGGATTTTTAAAACCAAGACCAAGAGAATATCAGACAAAGGAGAGATTCAGTGTGATTCAACAGTGAGCAGATAGAAAAAACAAAACAGACACCAGAACAGAAACAGAATATTGTGAGCTAATACGCAAAGAAGTCAGAGAGAAGGATCACGACCTTGATGTCCTCAGTTGCATCAGGAAACATCCAACCAGACAGCTGTGGGTGACCCGTGAACTCTGTCTTCAAATCAAAACTCACAACAGAGAATTCTCTAACTAACTATCTATCTTTGCAAAATTGCATGTTTCATTTGTAGTGTCTGTGGCTTTAGCATGCTGTCCTATAATGTGATTCATAAAACCCAAGCCATTTCCTTTTTGTAATCTACATGAGACTCATTTATTTAGTCTTTCCTTCACAGCAGTTTTACTTGTCATATGCAGATGGAAATGACTGAGGGTGAATGCTACAGTACAGTAAGAACATCTGCAGCAATATGACTGACATGAGAATGAAACAACCTCATTCTCAGTTTATTAGATCAGTGCTTCCCTTTAATTACCCTTTTCACTCTCTACAGCAGCTAAATTATCGGAAGAAGCCTAGAGCCTAGAGGCTTTAAATTTGAATTTACTCCAGAAAGTAATGCACATTAATCACAAACATTATAATTTCATTCAAACTGTCAAAAATAATGTGTTTGTTCTGCTTTCGCTTCACTGTAAAGCAGGAAACTGTCACATAGCTGAGGAGTTGATCCCTGCAGCAGCTAGTGTGTGTCCATCAACACTACATTGAAAGCTATAATATGCTATGATAAGAGCAACTCCACCCTAAATCCTGTATGGCGGACATGCATCACTGCACTCACCTCAGTGGGTCAGTGGGACTCTGTAACTGTAATATAGCATCACACAAGAGAATATTGTGAGCTGCTGAACTGTGGAGGATGTAGGTCTCACATCAACTGCAACATGGAGAAACAAGCAGGATTTCAGCCTGGTTATATGGTTACTGTTACTTAAGCAAAATATGTAGTGTAAGCTCATAATTTGCCCATTATTGATGTTATTGTTATTTTAATGATCAATGGAGCATCTTGAAAAAACAAATCCACAATGTCCCGCAGTGTTACAGTTGCAGTAACAACCACAGGCAGCAAGTTTTCCATTGCTTTAATTGCATTTTAGGCATCTTATTTGATTTCATATGACTGTCCTTTTAGTATATATGTAACTGACCCCGAGTTGTACTGCACGGTCCTGACTTGAAC